TAAAGGCCTAAGACCCGGGCCTTGATTCCCAGCTCTGCCAGAATCCCTGTAGGACCTTGGGCAAGTCACTCCATCTCTCTCTGGGACTCAGTTCAACAGGGCGATAATAATCTAACTCTGCTCTGCTTAGATGGTAAACTTTTGAGGACTGGTATATTTAATCCTGCCTCAGCACCGGGGACTGGACGAGGTGACCACTTGAGATCCCTTCCAGCCCTACGTTTCTCTGATTTGACTACTGTCTCCACTCCCAAGTAGCCACGCACACTCAAACAGACCCTTCCTTCTTAAATCCCTCGTCCCCTGGCAGCCGGCAAAATTCCTTGGTGGCAGGATTTGGGGGCTGCCCTGTTTTTACTTTCTCCGTCTCACCCATCTCTTGCAAAGGCCGCCCCGCAGCTGTCCGCCGTCCCGTCCCCCCCTCCAGGCAGCGCATGAACGAATCTAACACAACTCGGCTCCCATGGGAACAACTTGTTTATTGCACGACCGTTACTTGTGCATTGTCAGTTACCTGAGTTACAAACACCAGACCCAGCACTGGTCTGAGGGTCAGACCCCTCTGCGGCCCAGTTCACTGCCAGACTAGAAGCACAACGTGAATTCCTTGAGTTTCCTTGAATGGTATTCAGCCCCGGGCCCTGGTGAGAGCCACGGAACTGTCCTTGGCCACAGCATGGGTTCTGTGCTGCTAATTACTGCTAACTACTGCCACCTTGTGGTGGTCAAGCTGCCTCGCCCCATTCAAATTAGCTTTGCACAGGTCTCAATAAAGCCTGATTTTCAGAAGGGCGGAGCACCCACAAAATCCACTGGATTCCATAGCAGCTGGGGGTGGCTGGCATAGGCGCCGACTCCGTGGCTCCCCCAGGGCTGGAGCACCCACGGGGAAAAATTGATGGGTGCACCCACCGGCAGCTCCCCGCCCCGCGCCCAGCTCACCTCCGCTCCGCCTCCTCCCCTGAGCACGCCGCATGCCCGCTTTTTCTCCCTAGCTCCCAGCGCGTACATCGCGAAACAGCTGATTCACGTGGCTGGGAGGGAGGGGGGGAACGCAGCGCGCTGGGGGAAGAGGGGGGGCCCGGGTGGGGATGTGGGGAAGGGGTCCAATAGGGGCAGGGAGGGGGTGAAGTTGGGGTGGGGACTTTGGGGAAGGGGTCCAATAGGGGCAGGGAGGGGGTGAAGTTGGGGTGGGGACTTTGGGGAAGGGGTTGG